GGACAACCGCACTCCCAGGCCACAAGCAGGGTGCCAGAAGGGAAGTGGAGCAACTGGGATACAAACAAGCTCTCACAATGGATCCAAGTGGATGCAACGTGAATATTTAGCCACTAGGCCATCATATCAGGCTCAATTTTATCCAGTTAATTTTTAATATTTATTTATATTGAAAAGCAGATTTACAGAGAGAAGGAGAGACAAAGATCTTCCATTCGCTGGTTCACTACCCAAGTGGCCCCAACAGCCGAAGCTGAGCTGATCTGAAGCCACAGGCCAGGAGCTTCTTCTGGGTCTCCCACGTGAGTGCAGGGTCTGAAGGCCTTGAGCCATGTTCTACTTCTTTCCCAGGCCACAAGCAGGGAGCTGGATGGGAAACAGTGCAGCTGGGCTGGAATACAAACTGGATCCCATGCAGGATCCCAGCGCATGCAAGTCAAAGACTTTAGCCAGCAGGTTACTATGCTGGACATTATATGGTATTTTTAATGATTTGTACATGAAACAAAATTTTATGGAATGGAATTTTTGACCTTTCATATCATTTTAGGACCCAAGATATTTTAGATTTTGAAGCATTTTGAAGATTTCATATCATTGGATTAGGGATGTTCAACCTGTATTTCCAGTTGTTCAAATAGAAAAGGATCACTTATTAAGCACTTACTTGCCCTACATTTCCACATGTCCTATACCTTCCACTCCAATGCAGATGATTTGTCTTTATATGTCTGGATATACCCTCATCCCACATCCTGTAATTCTGACCAATGCTACTTTGACCCCACAAACTCATCTATCCAAGACTTAATCTCATGTGTCACCAAAAACATGACTTTTCATTACTCACATTCATTTCCTTAATGTGTTTCCAAGGAATGTTTCAGAAAATAAATTGCACAGTATGGTCATTGCATATGAGCACTGCAGCATATATAGCTCCAGTGGGAAATTACATATATAATTCTTGAAATTAATTTGTAATCAAATTGGGCTTTGAGCAGATGTAACAGGGCTGATCACAGTATTTTTTTTCTGAAATTGGAGAAGCTACACACAGTCTAACAACATAAGGGAAGACACTGCTAACACCATTTAGTTTTCTCATTATTACACTGTAAAATATGTGGCCATCCAAAACTAAATGATATAATGTGTGTAGATACAATTTTGAATTGCCTGATAACATCAGCTCTTACTGAAAAGCAGAGTTTTTAAAGGATTAAAAAGGGGATTCTATTCTGTTTTCAAGCAGTCCATGTTCAATAGGAGGACATCAAAAGTTTTACAAAAATATTTCAAAACAACAAATTTATAGTTTTAAAAGCAAAGAAAATTTAAAATCTGGGTGGTAACCAGGGAAAGCATGCAATCACACAGCAATAGTCAACTTAGAAATTAACATTTTTTAAAAGGGAAAATAATTCATATTGAGCTCTTGATGTGGCAGAGAGCATAAGAGTCTTCAGTTTAAGAAATGTTTCAAATATCAAAGCATAAAGAAACTAAAATCAAGAGACAGTTGCACTTTCAAAGAATTCAGTTTTATTTCGAAGCCTCCCAGTTTGATAGGGCCATCAATAAAAGCCCTTAAGAAGTACTCACTGTCTTCTTTTTGTGCCTGAGTCCCAGCTGCATCTGCTTTCAGCGTCAGATGCCTTCAACTCCTTTTAGTGGAGAAAAGGCCCTATGGGTCATGTGCTTTTTTCTAGGGATATTGGACTCTCAGAATTATTAAATTCAGGGAATGAGTAAAAATTGAAATTCATTCAATAAATTCTAGTGTGCTCAGACTGAGACAACAGGTGCCTCTGCACACATCTCGAGAAAAATTTAGAGGATGCTTTCCAATTCCAGCACAGGCCTCTTAAGCAGGCAGTTCTGAGGATCTCGCATTACCGCCACAGAATAACACAGGCAGCATCTGATGAACCAGGAACCTCTCCTGTTCACCATTCACTGAAGCACACTCACGCAAAGCCTGTTTGCTTGCACTCTGATACTTTACAGAGATGCAGAGCTGCCATCTAGCGTCTGAGAGGGAAAAGACAAGGTGCTCTCCACTTAAAAATGCAAACTTTCTATGAAGCACTAACTTTAAAAGTTAACATATTTGGCACAAAATTGCACAGGTTCACTAATGCCTGCATGTTTCTGAACTGTATCTTGATATCTTACTTTCACTAATAAGTGGTATAGAGGTTGAGATAGAATCAATTTTTAAATACACTTCTTGTTCATTTGGTAATTTTGTCATAACACTTCTTATAAATAGTCATTTTATTATGTAAAAGCACAATTTTTATCATGAGAAAGGAAATATAATTTTTACCATCATAAAGGACTAAAATGCCCAAATATTGGCACTATTAATTTTATAATGCTTGGCTTATAATTTTTAACACCTATAAACATTTCTTCACTCAGGGTGAACAATAATGACTTTAAAGGATTAAGCTAATTAACATTATAACTATAAAAGAATAAGTACAAAGTAGGTCAGAAATCAGTTCCAGCACCCTGTATCTTCTATATGGCCAGTTACTTCAGTTCTTCTGAAATATACCTTTACCATTTACGAAAAGATCCAACTCATAAAATCAAATGGTGACAAAGAGCCATCATTTCCAAAAGTAAATGATGTCATTGTTAAATGTTTATTTTCAGTTGCTTCTAACCACTGTTAGGTCTCTCAAAAGAGTTTTTGTATTTTCTGGCATCTAGATGCCTCCCTGACTAATAGGAAAAAAGCATATGTGACATTCATTCAATCTGCTTCACCATTAAGTCTCTGAGCAAGAGATCATCACGGTAGGATAGTACGCCAAGCTTCCAACTGCAGTGCTAGCACCTCCCAGCAACCTAGTGGGCATCAGTTCATGTCCCAGCTGTTCCACTTTTGATCCAGCTCTCTGCTTACGCCCTGGGAAAGCAGTGGAGGTTGGTACAGGTCCTTGGAACCCTGCACCCACATGGGAGATCAAGAGTAGATTCCTGGCTCCCAGCTTCAGATCAGCTCAGCTCTGGCCCTTGTGACCATTTGACCAGTGGACAGAAGGTCTTCCTAACTCTCTTTCTGTAAAATCTTTTAAATAAAAATAAATAAATCTTTAAAAACAAAATCTCCAAAAAATTGCATCAAATGTTTTTAAAAATTCAGTCTGTCAGGTTTTCTACTTGTTGCGATGTGCTTCACCACAGATCATAAACAGGTTAAGAAAAACAGAAATTTGTAATTTCACACACATGAGTACCTTCAATAGTACAGTTGTAATCTTAATATAGAAAGCAAGGGTGCACATGTTTTTTTATCACCATCAACATTATTTAATACTTTTTTTGCTGTTTATCTTTGACATTCCCTAGACAACAAAGATTTCAGTTTTGTAATCCCTGAACACAAGAATTTAGAAAAGCTGAACAAATTTCTCTTTAGTCATAATTAGCTATGCCACAAAAAAAGACAAAAAATTGAGATTTTTTGAGGGTATTATTTTGCCTAATATTTCTGACCACGTGAATTCCTTTTTACCTCTTACCCACTATTGGCTACTAAGTGCAGCTAATTAAATAAACATCAGCTGAATAGTTAATGCCCTTTAAGTGTTCCAAGTTGATGCACGCATCTTCTCTGAAAACAAAATTAAACACAACGGAAAATTTGTTTTTGGTGATATTATCCTTAAGAGTGGCCTTACTTTTATGATAAATCTAGTTATCTTTGTGAAATACACATAAGGACTATAAACTGTTCATCACCGTAATATCCCTCTATGTAATCTCTATTTCTCCTCCAGAGGGAGCACAACTTTCACGTGTGAAGCTGAGATATTTTTAATTTTATTTATTTATTAAAATGTATTTATTGGAAAGACATGGAAAGAAGAAGGGAAAGACAGAGAGAAAGATCCCTCTGCTGGTTCACTCCCCAAGTGGCCTCCAAAGGCTACAGCTGAGACGATCCAAAGCCAGAAGCCAGGAGCTTCCCTGGGTCTCTCACACGGGTACAGGGTCCCAAGGCTTTGGGCCGTCCTCGACTGCTTTCCCGGCCACAGGCAGGGAGCTGGATGGGAAGTGGAGCTGCTGGGACACGAACTAGCACCCAGCGTGTGCAAGGCAAGGATTTAAGTGCGGGGTCATCACACTGCCTGGGATTCGATTTGATTCGATTCTCTTCTTTTTTTAAGAAGGAAAGTCATTTCATGCTTTGGAGGATTCTTAATGTCACCAATTTAAATTTTACAACGAAAATTGGCATAGCCCAAACAGTTTATGTCATCACTAACCAGAATCAGACCTGAATCCAGATCGAGGCTTCTCATTTCCTGATAATCCACATTCAACTTCTTAACATTCATTTCTAACACTATTTCAAAAAGTTTGTGGGAAATAGAATTAAGGTTTTTTTTGGCGCATAGCAATTTACAGCCTATGCGTCCCTTTTAGTGCACATTTTCCAGAAGCTTTGTGAAGACCCTTCACCAGTTAATTCTCAAAAGCACATTCGGGTGAAAATACAAATACAATCAGCAAGCCTCCTTAAGGGACAGAAAACAGACGCTACGGAAACTAAACAGACATGAACTACATGTCTCATTCACCAAAGTAACTTAAACTCTTACTTGATTTGGGAAAAGCTATGACAGATTTTCATTTAATTGTATCCAGAAGACTATTAGACCTGGCACATCTCGGCACAGACTTCCCTGGGAGGGGCCCGAGTTTCCTTTTGCAGACAGCTGTTGTTGGGTCCAACCCTTTGGCTGGATAGAGCACGATACAGCTTCTGAAAAGCTTGCACTCAGTTCCACTTCAAGGCTGATCTTCTTTGGAAAATACATATGGAAGCACACACCCTCTTCTACCTGACTGGATTCCCTGCAGGCTTCAGGAAGTAAGAGCTCCCTCGCCAACTGGGAAAACCACAACACAAACCACAGACCTTGTCATGATTCCGAGACACATGATAGATGAGGCTCTGCGTGGTAATAAGATCTTACCTGCTGGACAGCATCTGGACACTTGTTCGGAGTTTCCAGAACAGCAGACTGAAATTCTAGATTGGAAAGGAAACAGATTGTCCATAACGTAAAGAATACATTTTCCTATCTCCTCAGTCAGAACGTGAAAATTTCGCTGAAATATACCTTTAGTCATACATTCCAAAAGTATCCGTCTTTCTATTTTACTACTGTGTTATGAGGATATGATTATTTTCAGCATATGTAACACATGCAATGATATATGGTCATGTCTTTACTTATTCTCTCACATTGGAGTCTTCGTATACCCTCTTCACAAATCATCCATCATTATTTTTCTCATCTTGTAGTTCACTGGTTGGACCACCATTTCCTAAGACTTTCACTTGCTCATATTTTGTTATGCACTTAAAATCTCTACCAGGATAGAAGTCACTTTATCAATATTGAAGGATAGGGGCCCAAAAGCCTCAGATGGTTATTGAAAAGTACCTTCTGTTTTCCACAAAGAGTGATGAACATTGTCACCAAAGGGCTCTAAGTAATGAAGGATGCTGATGGGATTCTGTTCCCTTCGACTCTTTGTTACCAGAGACTCTGGGAGAAACCAAACTTATCACATGACAAAACCTAGAGATAACCAAGTCCAGGATTTTCTTCTTAAGGAAAAATTGTGCTTTTCTTTAAAGTACCCTATGTGATCCTGCCCTGTAAATTTAAAAAGCATAAAAATAAAAAGTGCTTTCAGGAATGTCCAGTGTTCCATGGACGTGGGTCTGAAGATCACTAATCTGGTTTACCCTCATTTGAGAGCAAGAAATCAAAGGTCCACACCTAAGCAGTTGGTGGCAATGTGAAGAACAGAACTTATGTTACCAATCCTAGAACTGCCTTGTCAGAATCTTAGCCTGGCACAATGCTCCCCCTTCTCTGCACACAACGCAGACACCAGACAGAAGACACAGCAGTCATTCTCAACAGTTCTTTCTATATTCCAAATTTAACAGCATTGCAGCTGATACATATGGCAATGCTACAGAGAAATAAAAGGCACGTGGTGATTAAATGTGGTAACATACTGTTAAGCTACACAGAAGGTTTTCATTTCATGAAGATCAAAGTCACAACCTCTATAGGCATTGTTTCATGTGCCCACACTCTGTAACCTCTCCTACAGGCTCTGGCTTTTCAAGCTCATGCTTCTTCCCCCTCACTGGCTCCTCTCACCCACTATTGTCCAGCCTCTGTAAAAACCCTCTATAAAAAGTAGCAATTCCACCTGTCACCCAGAACTCCCTATTCTCCAATCCTTTAATTCGTCATGGTATGCAACATCACACCATACATTCCATAATTCACTTGTAAGCTGCCTTACTTCTTCTTTCTTATTGCACTAGGGCATAATGAAAGCAGGGGTTTTGGTTGATTCTCCTGGGCCCCTCCTCCCCACATTATATCTTCAGCGTCAGTAACAGTGCTTGGCACAAGCTAGGTGGATACATCACACACTTGTTGAGTAACTGATTAAAAGAATAAATGACAAATAAAAAGGATGAATGAAAGCAGGGCATCTTGAACAGGGAGAAGATTTTAGAAGAGGCGATGTAGTTACTGCCTTGCCTTCCTCTATGTGCGGCGCTTCAGCTTTGTGTGTATCTTTTGAAACAAAAATCACAGAGGATAGTATCAATTAGTTACCTACCCACAGATGCCACCATGGCAACAGACTATAAGCCAATGCTTTCAAAAATAAAACCATTTCCTCAGGAAAATACTATTTAGAGAGTGAAAAAACAAATGGATGCTTGGCTGATATGCTAATTAATCTTTATTCTGCACTCATTGTTGAATTTAGACAAAGTAAAATTAGATTTTTAACATCAGAGCTATGCAATAGTTAGCACTGAGGGGAAACCAAATGCCAAAACACTGTTATTTAGTATTATTTTCTATCACTTTTAAATTCTCCAAAACACAATGAACTGAAAACATGCCCTAGCATTATACAGGTAGAGAAAAGAGATGGTGGAGTAAAAACCCAGGGACAGCAGGTGATGTGCTAAGAGTTCTTTTAGAAATGCATTTGATGCCTCTAGTTTTTTCATAGTCCCTGACCTAGTAAGCTTCCCCAAAAGCAAGTTTCTCAGGGTAAATAAGTATAAGTACAATTTACCAGAACAATGGAACTAGAAAACGTTGTAGCAAATACTCCCAGCACTGACAACCAAAAGCTCAGGTTCCGTCTGCCTTCAGTGGTTACCTGAAATCACTCCCTCGTCCATTTCATTATGTTATTGCCTTGAATCCATATGTCAAAACTTCTAGGAGAAATTTAATTATAAGCTGGAATAAAGGAGTTCCAGAAGGTCAAGATGAAAGGGATGGATAGAATAATTCTACTGCAAATATATGGAAAATATAAACAAAAAATACTAAGATGAAAAATAATAACGGAATGAAAAAAAAGGAAATAGAAGAAAGAGGGCATAATAAGAACAAACCATAAAGAGAAGTGAAAGAATTGACAACAAGTGGCTAGCACGTGGTCAGGTCATTAGCGTGGCAGCAGCAAGTGAGAAGAAAATTGGCTTCTGAGGGACAGCACAAGCCTAGAACCACCGGAAGGGCATTTTGGGAAGCCAGCTTAGTTCATAGTCTCCCTGTACAAAGGCAGTCATATCTTGAACAATTATTATTCTCGGTATAATATTTCATTCCCTTAGAACCCCAGGGGCACATTCAGAAGTTGCTTTTATTTTTTTTATTTTATTTTTTAATAATGATTTCTTGGTTGATCAGGGTAGAAAGGAAAGAGGTTTAGGGAAAATTGGGTGACTTCATTACCTCCCAAATTTGCTATTTCTTCTTGTTGTTCCTGGGGTAAGGAGAGAGACAAGGGAAAACCACTCATGATTTTCCACATGTTCCAGTACCCAGGGATGAGGAACAGCCACCTCACATCAACCCAGAGTCTCGGTGTGTACATACTCCGAGGGTTCTGTCCAAGTGGTTTGGATACTGCTGAAATGCTGCCATTTTCATTGATCTAAAGATGATGTCACCTTCCAAATGTGCATTGGCTCCATTCACCAAGGATTTTTGTTTTGCTGTCATTGCTTGTTTGGGGTAGTTGTCCAATTTGTTCTGATTTCCTCATTCTGCTACAGCACCAAATGAGCTGCCATATTCTCCATTTACAGGGTCTGGGCTGTGACCACTGAGCCACCTCTTTCATTAAGTAGGATATGTTCTTGCAGGCAAGTCCAAGTATCTGGGCCAGGCATACCAAGCATCACTGGATCCCACAACTCTGGGGCTCATGAACCTGACATCCATTTAGTGGGCAGGCCCCAGAACCCGGAACAGGAGACCCAAGCCCAGCCAAATCCTCCACTCTTGGGCTCATGACCCTATCACCCATCTAGTAGACAGGCTCTAGGACCTGGGCCAGGAGACCCAAGCCCCACCATATCCCCCACCCCTGGAGTTCACAAAACCAACACCCACATAGAAGGTGAACCCCAGGATCTGAGCCAAGTGACCCAAGCCCCACCAGTTCCCCCATTCCCAGGGCTCAGGAACCCAGCCCCAACCACAAAGATGGGCCCCAGGACCTCAGCCCTGTCAGAGTCCTGGTCGCTGGGACTCATGTACCTGGCTCCTGTGGGGCCTGGGCTGGCATGATTCGCCTCACTTCAGCGTCCACATGCAGCTGGCCTAGTCTAGTATTCCCCCTGTTCCAGTTCCTGCTGGTGGGTGCTGCAGCCTATCACTACCAGGTCTGATTGCTGTCCTGGTCCTAACGTGAACTAGCTGGTATTGCAGGCTGGTCTGGCTCCTCCTGCCCCTTTCTCTGGTTCTCAGATCTGCCACTGGGTATTATGTGCTGGCCCAGAACTGGTCTGTCCCCAGACATGACCCACATATATGCCAGCAGGTACTGTAACCTGGCACGGCCTGGGCTGCTCCTTGCCTTGCTTCTTGCGCTCTCCTGCAGGGGCTGCGTCCCAGTGAAGGAGTCTCCCAAGCTCCTCCATCGAGTCTCATCCAAGTGGCAGTTCTCACACACACCAGTGGGTCCTTGGCCCAGGTTGCCTTTGTCCACCTCCTGCCCTGGCAATAACACTGGCCTTGCTCAACCAGCCACACCCATCCTGGTTCTTGTTGTTGGGTGTTGCAGTCCCAGCAATACCAGCAATACTCAGACACAGATTTCACATAGTTCAACAGAAGTCAAGATCTACTCTGGCCTGTTCTACACCCAATCTGGCTCTCACGAGTACTAGCAGCGGCTGGAATCAAGCCTAATCTTCACTTCCCGGTCCCAGTGCACAACCACGCTGGTGCAGTCTGTAGCCATGTACAGCCACAGCTGCTGCTCTTGTTCTCACCAGTAGGAACCCCAACCCAGCTGGGGTGCCCCTTTAGCTCCCCAGCAAGGACTGACCCCATTTGCAGTTCTTGGGATAGCAGCAGAGGCTGCAGTTCCACAAGAGTGAGCCTGCATTGCCCCCACAATTCTGCTAGCAGACCCACTTCTCTCACTCTTGTTCTCTTCAAACCGATTCGGTGTCAGCCCCCTATTATAAACACATGTCGTGGAATTATCTATGGAAGCCCCTCAACTAATTCCTAACCTGGGCATAAATTGCCCAGCCTTGGTACTGGCAGACAATCCCACCTAATAGTCAAAGCATAACCAGTGAAACCACTATGGTCTGTATTACACTTTAAGAATAAACTTACAGAAATTATTTTAATTTTTTTTCTTTTTGGAAAGTCAAATGTACAGAGAAGAGGAGAGACAGAGAGGAAGATCTTCCATATGCTAGTTCACCCCAAGTGACCACAACAGCCGGCCAGGAGCAGGAGCCTCTTCCAAGTCTCCTATGCGGATACAGGGTCCCAAGGCTTTGGGCCATCCTCAACTGCTTTCCCAGGCCACAAGCAGGGAGCTGGATGGGAAGCGGGGCAGCCGGGATTAGAACCGACGCCTATATGGGATCTTGGTGCATGCAAGGCAAGGATTCTTAACGTAATCCATTGTTTAAGTTCAGTCAATTCCATTCAAAAT